TTATATATCTCATTAAAAGTTTTAAGTTATTATCTTTCAAAGTCTCATTTCTAATTACACTTAATTTTTTATGTGAAACGGGCATGTTAGAAACTACCATATGTACTTGACATAATACATTATCACTCACTTTATCATTATATAGTTCTGGAATAGGAGCACGTGATAATGTATCGGCCAAGTACATATATTTTCCAGGCTTATATGTAACTATCAAATCACAACATTGTAATCGTAAAATCATTCGCTGTAAGCGTGCTGGTATCGAATCTAAGGGCTTTTTAAAAATGCTTTCTAACGGTTTATGATCTGTTTCAATTAAAACATCACTTTTACCGTAAATATATTGGTGGAACTTTTCACACGCAAAGAGAATAGCTAGCATTTCTTTTTCTATCTGCGCATATCGTGTCTGTGTGTCGGTGAGTGTACGTGAAGTATATTCAATAGGTCGGCCGCCCTGCAACAGCACGGCTCCTAGCGCTACACTGCTCGCGTCCACCGAAACTACAGCCGGTTGCGATACGTCATATAAAGCCAATACGGGTGATTTGCTTATTAAATCTTTTAATAAATAAAACGCATTCTGTTGTTCACTCTCCCAACACCATTCTGTGTCCTTTTTCAATAATCGAGTAAGCGGATAAATACGCTCAGAATACTTAGGTATAAACTTAGATAAATAATTTACGGCTCCTAAAAATCGCTCTAATGATTTTCGTTCTTTTTGAGTTTGAATATTTTTTATTCCTTTTACTTTTTCTAAATCTGGTTTCATCCCGTTTTTGTTAAATATATGACGCAAGTAAGTCACTTCCTCAACGCATATACGACATTTATCTTTATTAAATTTTAAATTAATTTCACGAGCCCTATTTAATAATGCATTTAAACGCCTATCATGTTCGTCTTTATTTCGTCCCCAGCATATTATATCGTCTATAAAAGAATCTACTCCATCTAAATCCTCTATTAATTGCTTAATCTTAGCATGAAACACCTCTGAAGCGCAGTTTAACCCATAAGGTAATCTTAAATACTGATAGCGCCCAAATGGTGTACTAAAGGTGCATAAGTCTGAACTCTGATCATCAAGTTTTATTGCCCAAAAACCTGAATTTGCGTCTAATACTGAAAAAAAACTAGCTCCGTGAACTTTAGTGGCAAGTTCCTTGATGGTTGGCAGTTGGAAATGTGCACGCTGTATAGCATTATTAAGATAAGATAAGGTCTCGGGTCTAAGCAAATTTGCAATGATCCGTTCTTTTTTGCTGCAATTACTATTGAATTAACCCATTGTGTTGGGTGAGTGACCTTTCTAATGACTCCTAAGTCAGTCATCCTGTTTAATTCTTCTAATAATTTATCACGTAATCCTAGAGGTACTTTTCGCGGAGCACAAACTACAGGTTTAACTGATTTATCAATAACTATATGGTACTCACCAGGTAAACATCCTAAACCTTCAAAAAGATCCGAATTTTCTACCATATTAATGCCGTAAATCCGTTGAATTAACCCTAGTTCCGAACACGCTTGTCGACCCACCACACTTTCACAATTAATATTTGCTATTGCAAATTTTAAAACATACATTGTACTTTTATGCCACCATTTAGATGACAAACTCCTCTTATCGGAATAACACCCCCGCTAAACGACTGTAATTTCATTTTATTATTATTGCATATCATTTCCGTGTCAAACCCCAGCGTTAAAAATCTCTTATAACATAACACATTAATGTCGGCACCGGTATCCAGCTTAAAACGTTCAAAGCCACACTCACCTCTTAATACCTCGTACCAGTCATCGCCGCCGATTTTGTTCTGCGTTTTATCCATTAACACAGATACATAAAACGACTCACAATCATCATTATCAGATTTTTCTGTATTCACTTCTATTTCATACATTTTTTTAGGCCGTAGTTACCGCACACATAGCATTTCACCGAAATAGCTGGACATGAACCTACATCAGTACACTGAGCACCACAACGCGGACAAGGCGACGTCGTGGTCCCGCTGTGCGCAACTCGCGCGCCGCATCGGCCGCCGCGCCCGCCGCTGCGTCCGCCACCGCGCCGCTCGCTGCCGCGCATCGCCAGCGCCTCAACGCGCACGGGCCCGCAGCTCGCCGAACTGCCGAAGCTACCTGTTTCCATCACACGCTTGCTGTCTGTTGACATTTCATAAGCTTGTCATATTTTAATTGCTTTCTCCAGAGTCAATTCATCTGTCCGTAACAACCGGTCCCTTACAATTGTGCTCCTTATGCCGCACACAATACGGTCGCGAATCAACTCTTGCTCTAAATTTTTAAATTCACAGTTTTTACTGAGTAACTTTAACGCTGTTACATATTGATCAATAGATTCTCCAGTTTCTTGATACCTCGAAAAAAAATTATGTCTCAGTAATGTTATATTAGATTGAACACCGAAATACTCGTCAAATTTTTTCATCAATATTTCGATATCCTCACGCTGCTCTTCTGAATCGAATGTAAAAGTCTCATAAACATCAAATCCATCTGATCCAATCAGATTAATGAACAAACTCGCCTGTATGCTTCCCTCTTCTTTGTGCACCCCCGATGCTTTAAGAAAAAGATTGAATTGTGCCTTCCACCGCTACCATGCGTCAGCCCGGCCGACGGGGCTGCCATCTAATCTCAATTCGGTTGGCGGTCTTGCATGATCCATCCTTTACACTTAATTTAGAATACAAATTAACGTTATTCAAACGTAAAATCCAAAACTATTTAGGTATTTTAACCGCTGCCACCATGTAGTGACAATGAAACACAGAGTTCAGATGACAACTGTTTTATTAATAAAGGCGGTTTTCTAATATATAATATTTTAAGACAACCCACAACACATAAATCGGAATGAGGGTAGTATCATAAATATTGCCTGTTAAGACACAAGTATAAATGTCCAATGTTTCGAGCGCACCGCGTCAGTATCACGAGAGACGCGGAGAGTGGACGTGTAGTGAAATGTGAGTTTACGTGTGCGTGTGTGAACCTGTGAATCCCTGTCTGTTACAAGTGGCGACGAAGAAAAAAGATAAGTACCTTTTCAGTATAAAAATATAAACAAAAATAGGTTAGCAATGTGCAGCTATTAGCATTGCAATTTGACAAACAAGAAGTACCCGCGGAAAAAAATCGATTATGAATATTAACTTATGGTTTTAAACCCTTTTCTGATAATTGTAATAATTTATATAAACTATATGTTAGCATATGACCACGTATATGATGCGCAAAATTCATTTTCTTTATGTAGCAATGATTAAATGATTTATTTGAACATTTTATCACAACTTTTATTTAAAAAGATTTTGATGGAAAAATAGTTGACTAAACTTATCTTTCCTCTTGATTCAAACAAAAGTACAATGTCGTTAGCTGAATTTTAGTGGCATTTTACATGTAGGTGTGGTATTTTATCGCCTTTAATAAAATAATTATTTACCGCTTTCGTAGCGTATATAAGTCTGACAGAAAATCGTGCACACTTCACGGCTTCTGTAAATTGAATAGTAGGTAACTAGTAATACTGTAAATGCGCATTCTAGCTATTAAATTTAGTAGTCGGCATAACAAATAAATCAAAATAGAAGGGCGAGAGTTATGGAACATATTTCTATCATTAAATTGAAGTTTGGGTACTAAGATACCACCATTAAATTGGAGTTCGGGTATCAAATACCGTCATTAAATTTAGCATAGAGTAGCAAATATCGGCATTAAATTGGGCACCGGGTATAATATACAGTCGTTAAATTGAGTATCGGGTATTGAATATCATTAAATTGAGTATCGGGTATCGAATATCATTATCATTAAATTGAGTATCGGGTATCGAATATCATTAAATTGAGTATCGGGTATAGAATATCATTAAATTGAGTATCGGGTATCAAATACCATCATTAAATTGAGCATCGGGTATCAAATACCTTTATTAAATTGAGCATCGGGTATCAAATACAGTCATTAAATTGAGCATCTGGTAACTTAGGGTAAGTTTGTATGATGGCAGACTAATGTCCTTTGATAATGGAAGCAAATAGAAGACAATGTTACAACACTGTTCAGAGTTAAACGACGTTGCGCTAAAATAAACTTTATCGTTTACTTAATTACAGGACATTGCAGAACATTTAATTAATTTGATAAGTTATAATAGATATCTCTTCATGAAACGAGATTTTTTTAACTCAATATAACCGACACTTTTATAAAGGCAAAAAACTTAACTAAACAATTATTGTGCAATTAAGGGTAGAATAAAATTACTATAGAGCAGAATGGACTAGATTTGTTCGCGTTGTTATATTTAGAAAAATGCGCTTATTCCTTGTGCTACCACCTCGCATTTCTATTATTACAAGTTATAGTTTCTTTTCCATTTTAATAACATTATGTTTCACGGCTTCATTCTTTGCGATTTATTGTTAACGTAGTAGCGCCTCCATGTACTAGACTTGCACGGATTTTTAGAAGTATTTTTTTTGTATGGTATCCCTACTAATGCTGGCAACACTACCCTTGTCTAGCTCGGGTCGCGTGTTCCCATTCGCGCCATTCTGTATCTCCGTGCTCAAGGTTTCGCACTTCTCTCTAGCCTTATTGTACAAAAGTTGACTAATTTTCGGCAGAAAATGAGAAGAAAAAGAAAACAGAAAAAAAGGAAGACGAAATCAATTTTTTTCAAAACTACAATAGCAGTTAAACAAAGTTACCAATACGGGAGAATCTTTGTTTGTGGAGGAATTAAGCAGTAAGTTTTATAATTTAGATTCAATATATGGATGCGTACTGCAAAATTTTTGCTACTACCGTCATTATTGATCTAAAAAAAATATGAAGTTGTGATGCGAGATACCGTATTTGGGTTACCTCTGTCACGAAAAAAGTGATGCTTACTGCTAATTTTGGGCTGATACTGTCACATATTTTTATATTACAAACATTCTAATAATCTAAATAACTGTTTGCTGCAGAGTCACCTCTGCATCCGCTGAGCACGTGCCACGCTTCGTCACCAGCGTCATGCGTGGAGTCTCCTTTTCTGGTTGATGGGGAGGTTCACCTACAAATCCCATCTTGTCAGGAAATGGTTCTCCTGGAACCGGTTCTCTACAGCCAACGTTCCCAAGATCGCCGGTGCCGAGAATGGCACCACAGTCACCGCAACCGCAGGTTGACGACAGACCGATTTCTTCAACAGCTGGAACATCAACTGGCAGTGATACTTCACAGCCGATGATATGAGAGGTGCAACTCGGACGAAGACATACTGGTTCGGTGATGCATAGACCAACCCAGGGCCACAAGCGGTGGTAAGAAAAAAAACTACCACCCAAAGCAGCCCTGACAGAGATCTCCATAAAACAAAACTCGTCACTTGTGTTCAAACAATAGCAGCTAGGCGTCGCCATTGCAGCTCTAGCCAAAGCAATAGCTATTGCCAATATGATCATTTCGGACGAAACTGGCAAACAAAAACTTTTAAAACCTTTAAGCGACACCTGTCGCATTCTTTGCGATAGTCATTTTATGGAATCAAGAACACGTAGAGGTTTCATAATTTCGTCTATTAATACTTACCCGTTCTACTTTCAGTACCACCAGCAACACTGGCCATTTAAACTACCTAAACCAACATCGCAAGGTAGACAACAAATTGCAGCCGCAAATTTACAACACAAAACGAGGGCAGCGGTCAACGCCGCGCCCGCGGGAGGCACCGCAGCAGGCAGCCAGCACTTCGACGTCATCAAGACGACATCAAGTCGACGATGTCTCGCCGGACATAGACGAGGTACCATTTTCAGGACAACTTCAGTACTTTGACAATAAATAAATAAATATAATAAATAATAAATAAATTTATTTATTGAGTAAAACCATATTGATACTACAAAGTTGAATTGCTAGTTTGGTAGTCAGGGCTTCAACTTTGTATTGTCAATATGGTTTTATTTAATAAATAAGTTTATTTATTATTAAATGGGCTGAAATAACTTCAGACAAAAATATTCCATCTTGGGTGAAAGGTTACCAAATACCATTTAAATGTACGCGATATCGTACTAGTGATCCTTATGTTTACCCCAAACACATCCCACGAGGCACATAATTTTAACAAGTCAATTAAAACCCTTCTAGATATTGGTGCAATATCCCACCGCACACATAGAGAAAGCGAATTCATATCCAGTGTATTTTTAATGCCAAAACCGAACGAAGAAAATAGATTTATATTGAATATTAAATGCTTAAATAATTTCGTAGAAACGTGATATTTAAAGATGGAGGATTACTGAACAGCATCAAAATTGATAACCAAAAACTGTTACATGGCTTCCATAGATTTTAAAAGACGCCTATTTTCTACTACTATTTTCTAAACATAAATCTCATAAAAATATCTTCGCTTTAAATATAATGATGCGCTTTTTGAATTCAATTACCTAGCGTTCGGTTTGTGCACAGCACCTTATGTTTTTACTAAATTAATGAAGCCAGTAATAGAATTTCTTATAATTACTGGAATGATATCTGTGATATACCTTGATTTGGATTGGATGTTCGCTTTTAGAATGCAAAAGGAATAATGTCTTACTACAAACTTTACCCAAAGCTTAGGTTTCATAGTAAACAAAGAGAAAAGCTGCCTGGAACCATATACTCAATGTAAATTTTTAGGTTTTATTTTTGATTCTGATAACATGGCGATAAAATTGACAGATGCTAAAAAATAAAAATCAAAGTGGGTATTTCTAAGTTCCTTAAACAACATAAATGTACACTTCGTGAATTTACTAGACTCTTAGGACTTCTATTGTCTGCATGTCCTGCGGTGAAATATTCATGGCTATACACTAAACGTTTTGTACAATTCAAATATCGGTGCTTACTCGAGAACCCTAGTTTTGAACAAATCGTAAAACTTCCTAAAAGTCTTCAGATCGACATACTTTGGTGAATAAACAATAATGATCATCGTTTCCATCAACAAAACTGTGATAAATACGATTTAGAAATATTTTCTGACGCATCATCTACGGGTCGGGGTGCTTATTTTAGCATGAAAAACTGTTTTGGCTACTGGAAAGATCATGAGAAATCCTTGAACATTAACGAATTAGTAACGGGCTGTTTTGGCTCTAAAGTGCTTCGCTATTAATTTAAATTCAATTAAAAATTATTGCAAATTGATATTGTTACTGCAATATCTTGTATTAATAGGATGGGTAGCATACAGTTCGATCATTTAAATATTAATTTTAGACAAATATAGAAATGGCGTGAAATTCGTGCAACAACTATATTCTCTTCTTATAGAAATACTAAACATAACTATGAAGCAGATCAAAAGCCTCTTAAAAATTTTTGGACACTAAATGGGAACTTCATGCTATAGGCATTTAATAAATTAACTCTTTGCTACGGTTACCCAGATATATCTTTTTTGCTAGCAAACGCAATACTAAAAAACATAAATATATTGCTTGGAAATATTAGCCTGATACCTAGGCCACTTACGCTTTTACCGTTCCTTGGAAAAATGTTATTCTACGCATTTCCACACTTTTCACTAATAACAAAGGTCATACAAAAATTATTAATGAAAGAGTAGAAGGCATTCCAGTTTTACCACATTGGTCTACGCAACCCATTATTCCAAAAACTAATTTGTTCTATGGCAATATATTGAAAACCACCCCTGACGACTAAGATGGAATGCCTTTATCCCATTAAAACGGGTCTCCAGTTCTCTACACTCGCCATACGAATCACAGCACCATTAAGATGCTATTTTACACTGGTATTCCGTGATAGCGTGGTCCTATCCCGGTCGAGCCGACCCATTTGTACTACAACCAAAATATAGCTGCAGTGTGGCTCAACTACGTATAAAGAGTTTTTAGATCTTTTTGTTTGTCCTATGAGAGACCACATTCGCAATCTAGCTTGTACACTCCTGCATATTGTAGAGGAATATTACACTTGATGGATGGTTAAATTGACTAATCTTTTTCGGCAGCTTGTAGTATGTTTTAATGGAAGCTCGCTCGCCCGTGACCATTTGTGTTGCAAAGCACCCGAAACGTCTGGAATTAAAAATAAGGTACCTAATGAAACATCCGTATTAATATTTTCATTCAATGTATAAATATATACATATACTAGCATGCCAGGCAGACGTTGTTCTGCCCTCTTCGACGACTCATTGTCATGTCCTATTAAAAATCCTTAAGTTCGCAAAAAAAATTGTGGGTCACTCATGGGCAAAAAACTATCATATCTTTCAAGTTGGACCAAACTGCACACGGTGTGCAAATTTGATTAAAATCGATTTAGTAGTTTAGTAGTCTATCGCGGACAAACAACGTGACACGTAATATATATATATATATATATATATATATATATATATATATATATATATATATATTATATTAAGATGTAATATATAAGTAAATGTGGGCAAGGTCGCTCAACGAGCTATGAAAGAGAGAATCCAATAAGTGGATAGGTGCAGATAGCTCACCACGCATTGTGGCATTTCTTGGGGCGGTCATGTATGTTTATCAGTGGATTCGTGAATGTGTATAATAAGGATGAAATTTACTTAAAATATTTCCAGTGCCTTAAGACGTAAATAATGATTTCTTAAATCTACGCGAATACTACACATTGAACTACATATTACTTGCATGACGTGCTGACGTTCAGCACGTCATGCAAGTAATACGTCACAGTGACCGAGTGACCGGCCACAGTCGATCGTGTACCTGCTGTACTACCATATGTCAGAGGAGTCACAGACAAGGTTGGCTACATCTTGAAGCGAGCTTCCATTAAAACATACTACAAGCCGCCGAAGAAGATTAGTCAATTTTTACCATCCGTCAAGTGTAATATCCCTCTACAAGATGCAGGAGTGTACAAATTAGATTGTGAATGTGGTCTCTCTTACATAGGTCAAACAAAAAGATCCATAAAAACCCGCGTGAAAGAACATATAGCTGACGTGAAGCACCGACGCTCCGGGAAGTTCGCAGTCTGCGAACATGTTCAAGATCGTCCCCACCACTACATTCGATTTGATAAACCACAAATTCTCGCAAAAGAACACCGATTCCTACCAAGGATGATACGCGAGGCTATTGAAATTAAAAAACATCCAAATTTCAATAGAGAAGATGGATGGGTGCTGCCACCTACTTGGGATCCTATAATTAACAAAATTAATCCCAAACCTAAGCATACCACTGCAAGACTTCATGATACTACATATGTATAAGATGTATAAGCTCGTTTTGCGTAAATCGGACCAAAAATTAATATTCAAAAACTGAAGGTAGCCGACTAACTATGACATTGGGACCAAACATCTCAGTCCCCCCCCCCGTGACCATGGGTGCTGTAAAGCACCCGAAACGTCGGGAATTAAAAATAAGTAAAAAAAATAATGAAATACACGCGATAAAATCCGTAAATTTAGTTTTATTCAACGTTGAAATAACATAAATTACAATATAGCATTGATTTCCGCAAAAATATAACAGTAATACTTGAAAACTATCGAACAGACAGAATCTCGAAAAAGATATTACAAAATACATTTTGGACTCATTACATACAGCTATAATATATTAAAATCCGTTCGAGTGTCGTTGTGACATGGTGTGAGTATGTATTTTGCTAGACTTAGTTATTGGTTTTTAAGCGAGATAAGAGCCTATTTATTTAAAGGCCGGCAACGCATCTGCAATTCACTTTACTTACCCTTAGGTTAGTCGCATACTCTTATAATAAAAAGAAAACAAATCTATTTCTTAACAAGCGTTGTTGATAGGAGTTTTAATGGGTCCAAAATTTTGGTGCTCCGTGTAAAATAAAAGTGTGAAAATGGAGAAAACAATTTATTGCTAACGGTTAAATTTTAAAACGGCTATGCATAGGAGCAGTGAACCGGCTGTCAGAATTTCAAACCAGCCCATTTTTGTGTCATATTGGTACAAAAGTGCCACGATTTTAGCCTGATAAATCGGGTTTTTGGTTTGGCTAAATTTGCGGAAAATGCATATTGGAAAATATCACGCTAGACGCAACAAAAATTTCCCATGTCAAATCTCAACAAAAAGCCAACTCGAAAAGTACTAGGCATTAAAAGAAGATGAGACATTAAGAGGGTATACATAAAAACATCAATGTCTTAATATCATTTGAGTCTTCACAAACTTTTATATACCTCGCTGAGAAGAGACTTGAAGAACCCTTTAAAATTGTCGGGATCTTGGGAGTTAAACCATTGGCATAAGAGGGGTCGCCGGAAATTAGCTTTTACTAACTACTTTGGTTGAAATAATACGAAAACTATTATTAAGATACTTACGAAAATGGGGTGGAAGGAGACAATTTTGGCTCTAGCAGCATTACGCGACAGCAAACGTCATTGCCATAGCCA